AAAAGGAAATGTACAAGACACTAAAAAAAGCAAAAGAAAACACCACTAGAGGTAATGCTGGGGAAGAAAAGGCTTCTTCCCTGCAGAACTGTTTTCTGAACTACCATTCAGCATAGCCCCACCCAGGAATGCTCTGCAGTGATGGGCATGAAGATCTTCGCTGCCCAATACACTGGTCACCAACTACATGTGGCACTTGAAATGTGGCTGATTCAACCAAAGAACTGAATTTTAATTATGTTTAATTAATTTAATTAATTTGGATTTCAATACCACCTATGGCAGCTGGTGGATACTGTAATTGATAGTATGAGCTAGGATGGAGAGGCCTTAAATGTGACAGCAGTGGCCCTCCCTGGTAGTGTAGTGTGTTAAAGTGTAGCATGTTAAAAGCACAATACCACAAAGCTGGCCATGGCCACTTAGGTGCAAGTTTGATCCCGTCTCCTGGAGGGGATCCACATGGCGCGGCAGACCTCTCCTGACCCACCTGCTGCTCCCCTCAGCAGTATACTTTGTCACTCTGCCTTTTCTGATCCCCTCTCTGTTTCTGGTGAATCCTCTCACCACCCCTGCACCTCTGGCCTGTACCCCAGTTCCTTATGAATGAATAAATAAATAAATAAATAAATCTTTTTAAAAAATGTGATAGCAGAAGACAGGGAGTTGTATAAGCATATGAGCATACATGTGTAGCACTGCCAAGACTGGAAGGAGCACTGTGTGGTAAAGGGCATGACAGAGCAAGAATGGTTAAAGGAAGCAACCTCAAGTGAGGCAGGAAAGTTGGCCAAAACCAGGCCATGCAGGGTTCCAGCAGGCATGTTAAGAATTTTGAGTTCTTTCCATACTATAGCATGATGCTACTGAACAGTTGTAAGCAATGGAGGGACACATTCAAGTTAGCACTAAAAAAAGAAAAAAAAAAATCAGCTTCCAGAAGAATCGATTCAACAAAGCACATATATGAGGAGATCAGTTAGGTTCCTGCAATCATTTAGACAAAAGATGAAGGTATGTGATATTGGAGAATGAGAAAATTCCCAGCTCTAACTCAGCCTGGTTTATCACCTAACTACTAGGAAAAGTCCCGTAAGTCCCTGGGTCTCAGTTTTTCTTTACAACTCTAAAAGGGAAATAACAACCCCTTCCCTTCTACCTTGTTGGGTAAGTCTATACTTTGAAGGCACACATGTTCTGTGGATGTAAGAGCCTCGTGAACATTATTCTCAATCCCAAGTGAGTACTCCCTTTTCAGCCCTTGCTCCCCCCAACTCAACTTATAAAGTGATGGTACAACTTATAATGAAATAATACTTCACTGGCTTCCCATGTGTTGGTATTTTTGTATGCAACTGAACTATTTTATCCTTAGGGGTAGAAAACGTTTTGAACACCTCTCCTGATGTACTTTAGTGCTTGGCAAAGAGCACAACAAACAGTAGGTACTTAATGAATGTTTGCAGACTACATAACACTCAACAAATTCTTTCTTGTAGAAAATGGTGCTATTCATACACTAACTTGCCATGTTTTTGCTTTATTGGAGTGATTAAGACTAGTGTCTCCAAAAGAGGGTATAAGCTTTAAAATTAGGGCCTGTGTTTCCCTCTGGTACTTGTGTGTTTCCATGTAACACTTTAGGTATGTGGGTATGAACCCAATAAAGACCTGTTAACTTTAGGGGGAGTGGAAAGGAAGACAAAGAAGAGGTTTTAGGGCCATCTTACTTGGGGGTCTAGTCCTTTCTCTAATACTTACTAGTTTCAGAACTTTAATATCCTCATCCATCAAACAAGAGGAATGACAGTGTCCTCCTGTCACAGAATTACTGGACATTTATAGAAGATTGGGATAAAGGTAAGTGTCATATTTGTTTCTGAATCTACATGACATTTATTCAGCAACCATATCTTAAGTACCAAATTTGTGCCAGGCAATGTGTTTGATGTTAGGGATATAATGGTTATCTCATTCAGAGCACAACTCATGGCTTAAACAGGGATAAACAAATGAACAATGAAAATGCGACCTGATAAGAATTAGATAATGATGAAAGTGAGCTCTGGGGCAACAGAGAGGCCTGTCTGTGTGCTGTGCTCTTTGCTAAGTACTGGAACAAACACAGGAGCAGTAGACAAAGGTTTCATGCCTCTAAGGATGACACAGTTCCAATACACACAAAACCCAACACTTAGGAAGCCAGTGCAGGGTCTTTTGTCTAAGTTACACCAGTTATGTGAGTAACAGTTGGAGGAAGAGGGAGCAGAAGAGGGAGATTCTAAGGGAGGGAAGAGCCTGTTGAAATCATCAAAGAAGGCTTTTCCCAGGAGGAAATATTTCTTAAGAACTTTCCTTAGAAAGGCCTAGGACATGTCAAACAAGGGGAGAAAAAAAAACAAAACAGTCTTGACAGTGAAAACAATAAAGGGTTCCCATTCATTCACCTACTCAACAAAACTATTGCAGCACACCACAGGTGAATTCCAGGGAAATGCAGATGAACTGGAATGACTCCTGCTCAGGAAGCATGCATTTCCACATGAGTAGCCAGCAAGATACAGCCACTTCTGATTCAGTATGGTTAATTCAACAATCAGGGTAAGCTCCAGAGTCCCCAGGTGCTAGCAAATTCTAAAAACGTCAGGCCACTGAATACAATTTCCAAGCTGGGTCATGTGCAGGGAGAGGAGATGTAGAGGAAGAGCACAAGACAGCACCAGCAAGACCACCATTCCTTGCACTGGTCATGTGACTTTGGGCTGAGTACTTAAAAACACTTCCACACTCATTTCTTCTAGCTCTAAAACAGAATAACATCTTTATCAAGAGGCTGTTGTAAGGATAAAATGAAATGATGGGCATAAAGTGTTCAGGATAGCACCTTGCACATAATTAGTGGCCCAGATATGGAGGCCATCACTGCTGAAGAAGTCAGCAGCTCTAGTGACAGTTGTTAACTTGACCAAGGTAGGACATGATCTCAGACCATGTGAAATCCCTAGGAAAAAGCAGTATAGCTGCTCCCCACTCTTATATTTCTCAAGTTTTTGAGCAAGAAAAGGCAAGTCAGGTGTATCTTCAGTCACTCTATACTCTAGATTTAGGCTTCTCGAAATCTCCCATGAGGAACCTGAACCAGAAGAAGGAGTGAATATTCCCAAGAGGTGCCTCCCTAATTGCCACTGACTTTTCACTATTTTAGCTTAGACATTCTGCTCCATAATCCAACCTTCCTCTTACCGCCATCATCATAAGGAACACTGTGCCTATTTATTTCAAACACTGTTACGACCTTCTTATATGCCTTACTCATTTAATCCTCATAATAGCTCTACGGAGGTAAGTGCAGCTGTCATTCACAGTGCACAGGTAACAAAACTCTGGTAAGAAACATAAAGACACTTGTCCAAGACGACAGGCTAATAAATATTGGAACTGGCTTGTCAGACCAGGCATCTGGCTCTAGGATATGTGTGCCAGTGACATGTTACCTCTCTAGCATGAAAACGCTTCCTTCCTTAAGCCTCGCGCCAGCTATGAGTTGCAAGCAGATGTGTCATTGTCTATCCTCTGCCTTCTGGCACATGACCACCTATCCAAACTCCAAGCAAGGAGAGCAACCTAAGACCCAATAGGCTTATCTGAGTTCCCTACAGTGAGACAAAGGCCCAGAGCACTCATGCAGCTAATGGGGTTCAAAGAGATGACAAGTCAAACGTCACTGGGAGATGATTAAAAAATCTAACATTAAACCAAGCTGTACTTAGAGCAGACCTTTCTTAAAGAAGCTTTTCATTGGGGGATTATATTTTCTTCTTGACAATTTCCTTAATGGCAAGAAAGGCTATATGTTAAAAGAACAAAGGAGACCCAAGGGCAAAGAACAGAAGAGTCTCCCCAAGGTGGAGGCTGAAAGGGGGAAGAGAGCTGAAAATTAAACAGGCAGAAGAGAAGATGTGTCCCCTCTTTTATTCCTATATAATGCTCCAATGTAGCCCACCCCCACCTCTTCCCTCTGCCTTCTTCTCCCAAGGCACTAACAGCCGCCCCAAGCTCATTAAAGTTTAAACTTACTGATCAATATGAACAGAATGGTGAATTGTCCATCTGCAAATTACCAAGCCCTTCATGAATATTTAAGGACTTAAACTAGGAATGGGAGAAGAGAAAACTCAGGACTTGATTTTTCTCACAAAAAAAAAATGGGAGGGGGGGTACACAAAAGCATCTCTGTCATTCTTGATCACCAGGATAAAAAAACTAAACAGGCAAGAGAAACTTTAAAGGTGTGGAGATCTTGCCCGACATGCTTCCTTTCCCAAGCAAACAGCCCAATGCTCATCCAAGGCCACTGAAAATGAACATCTGATCTCATTTAGAGTTTTGCCCAATCTCCTTGCTTCTCCAAACACATCATGTTCTCATTGTACCATGCCGTGGCACACACTGTTTCCTCTGCCCACAGGGAGGTTTCACTCACTTTCACACCTGGAAGGCAGGATGATCCAGTGACTAAGGATACAGAGCTGACTCAGACTCCCTAGTGGCCATCCCTGCCTACTTCTAAAGGCATGAACTTGGGTAAGCCCAACCCCTCTGTGCCTACATCCTTGTCAATAACACCAGACAATAATTAACAGGTCAACCTTCACAGGGTTGCTGTGAAGATTCATAACGCATGTTCACATGTTCACATGCCTCAGGCACATGGTGAAGGCACAACAGATGTCCTCTATGATAATCACACAACTTCTTCACCTCAAGACACCCCTGATCAAATTCTGCCTGTATATTCCACATCTTCCATCCTGTCTACCCTGAGCCCTTCTGAGGTAGCCCGTTCCTCATCATCACCAGAGAGACTTCAGTATTGGTCTGTATCACTAGACTATGAGCCCCTAAAAGGCAAGCCTAAATCTCAAGGTTCCTCAGCCCAATGCTGGGGAGACAGGGGACAGATCACACAGCTGGTAGACACAAGAACAGAGTGCCCATACCTTTGTGACGATACAGCAGGCGGCCCAAATGTCCTCAGAAGACTGTTCATGGTGGTTGAACTGAGGCTCCCACTTCTTAGTTGGCTGGTCTGCAAAAGCCACAAGGACACCCTCCTGGTCCACAAGAGCCGCACGAACACTGCCTGTCCCAACATCCACACCCACATAGTAGCTTCTTGGTGCATGATCGCCACTGTGCATCATGGTCTGGCCACCTGTGGTAGTCAAGGGAAAAACTACATAAACCTGAGTCAAGCACAAGGCATCTCGAAAGTGTATATAAACAGTGTGTAGCTAACTAGTGGCCAGTTATTTATTCACTCAATGAAAATGGAAGAGTTTAATGGTTACCAGAGGGAACAGGGGAAAGATAGAGGGGGGTAAGTGAGGTGTTGGCATGGGTGGTTGAGTGGAAGGTGAGTAGCACATGTGCAAACATGGACAAGTAAAAATGTGACCCCAAAATTAAACTTTTGTCAATAAATAAAAAAGAGGGGGGATGTTGAGTGTTAACAGTGTGTCACCAGGCATGGAGCTAGTAGGGGAGAACAAGACATGGAGTTCTCAGCTTTGGAAGGGAGTAGATGAGATGTGAAGCACCTATAACCAACTGAATTATTCACGCAAGTCATGATATGGAGTATAAACTACTGCAAGAGTAAATAAAGGATAGCAGGGAAACAGAAAATCCAGAAGGGATAGACAGACATTTATTCTCATGAATTTAATTCAAAACAAGAAAAGCATCATGGTACTTAAAAGGATCCCCATCATCCGTGTCAATTGGCCACAAATCACCTACTGAGCACCTACCTATGCCAATCACAGTGGAAACTAACACATTCCAGCTACTCCTAAGATTCTGGAAGGTAAATATATTCCAGTTTCTATTTTACAGGTAATCCAAGTGAGATTCTGTGAAAGAAGTGACAATTCGCTTAAGGCTCAGTCCACACTTAGGAACAGTAAATGCACTTGTTGTAATGATGTGCATTATCCTGATGGGGAGGTAGACCTGAGAAGTTTGGGGATTTACCCAGCCTCCCTCAGGAACAGCCTGGGCCCACAGTTCCACAGCCATGTGCTCCCAACTGTCACACTCTTTCCAACAGCTGCAGAGCAGGTTTGCAGAAGCACCAGATACATAGCAGTGGTGTCATGAAGTAACTGGGAATTGGGAAGGAGCCTCTGGGGAGCCAGGACTAGGCAATTGTCAGACAAACTGTTTTCCTGACAGACTCTTCCTGAGTTACAAGGAAACACGACCAGAGACCACTCAGGAAATCCTTGGCCACCACAGCCACTACAATTCCCTCTATTAAGATTAGCCTGCGGGACACAGAAAACTCATAGAGATTTTCATTTTCCAGACTGACCTTTCAAAGAATAAGAATGTACCCCCGAGACAGGGTGCTGTGAACATACTACAGCTCGCCAGGTGAGCTCCGGGCCTGAGTGCCCAGAGTATCCTCTCAAGCACAGCCACATTCTGCACCCTTGAACTTCAAAGTCACACTTGGGGATTCTAAAAGGCAGGCAGTCAGTCAGCAGATGTTCAGTCACTGCTTCCTGGATATTCAGCCCAGTCAAAAACAGCTTCATTAGAAGTGATTGCTTGAACGTAATCACAGTGATTTCCCAACTGCGTTTGCCCTTTTTGCTCTCTGGCTCACGATGGGTGAAAAGGAAGATGTTCAGCTGGAGCAAGAGCATTTTCACCCTTCACATGAGCTTTAGAGAAAGGCTCTGGCACTCCAGCCTCAGTGCTTTCTTATATTGTCTCTCTCACTCACAAACCTACACAATTTTCAAACCATTCATTTCTACTTTCAGCTAACAGAGATACCTTACCTGCAAACGTTACTCTCACGAAACATTAAAGAGATCAAAGAGCTGCTTGGTTGGAAGCAAAGACAGCCCTTGTCCCACCTCTCACCTCCAACCCCATTAGCAGTCTGCTGGGACTCAGGATGGTGGGTAACCACTGGCGAAGGCTGAGGTCCTTGGCATCCCAGTCCCTCATGAACCTCCCCTCGCCTGCTACTAGTCACAAGTAACGCGACCATGCCTACCCTCATGCCAGACCCCAGAAATCCTGAAGCTTCTTGCAGGCCCTCACATGCATCTGGCCGCTAGAGGCTCACCCCACCACCCACGGCCTTTTCCTTGAATTCCTTCTGCTCTTGTCTGCCTGGTAATGAGGAGCTTCACATTTGGGTCCAGCCCAACCATCACCTGTCCAGGGAAGACTCCTTAGCCGTCCATGGTCCCTTACAGACATTTTAAGGATGCCATCTGATCATCCTGACACCACTGTCTTTTAAAACTTACTATTGTGGCCCTCCCTGGTGGCGCAGTGGGTTAAAGCACAGCACAAAGAAGTTTAAGCCACTTCCGCATGAGTTCGATCCCCGCCTGCCCCGGAGGTGACCACATGGTATGGCAGACCTCTCCTGACCCGCCCGCCCGCTGCTCCACTCAGCAGTGTGCCTCGCCGATCTGCCTGTTCTGTTCCCAGCTCTGTCTCTGGTGAAGCCTCCCCCCGCCCCTGAGCCTCTGGTCTGTACCCCAATTCTGTATGTACAAATAAATAAATCTTAAAAAAATAAAATAAAAAAAAAACTTACTATTGTAAGTGATGATGGTATTTTTGCTTCCATGTCTATTTCCCTTACTAATCTGAACTTTAAAAGAAAAACTTATGATTTCTACATCCCCAGCCTCTAGCACAGTGAGTGGTATATAATCAATTGTCAATAAGCCTTAATTAGTGAACAACTGAATCAGAGAATCAACAGAAAGCAAAGATGAACAGATTTCTAGTGTTAATAGGTTAATTCCTAAGTTTGCTCTTGTATATACCAATATTTTGTCTTGCTTCTAGTCTTTGTGGTGTTCACTCATTCAACATTTATTGGATGCTTACAAACACACTTTATGAATTCTAAGATAATCATATTTTACAACTGTTTTTTCCGATTTAGCTTCTCTAAAAATTATACAGTGAATCTTACAATCATTGACATCTTATAATTTATTTGTAGTATATTAGCAGTATATAAAAGCGATGCATTTTGCATCCAGTGATGGATATTCAGTGAATATCCACTCTGCTAAACACTGAAGATACAGTGATGTGCAAACAAGGTCAGTGTTTTGGTTCAGAACTTGCCCAGGTTTTTATGTGCAAGTAGGATAAAGAAAGACCAGCAGCACCCACCTTACCTCCACGCCCTCCTCACCCGCATCTCTCACTTTGCTTGGCATTCTGCTAGGTTCCAGAAGTATCCACTGTGAAGCAGTCCCAGGGTGCTGCTCCTTAACACCAAGCTTGGCATACTAACAACTCTCTGCCCTTGATTAGAACTTTCTAAGATTGTTCTAAATGCTTTGGGAAGAAACAATGATATAAAGAGGAAATGACAAATCTATATGCACTATGGCTTACCCGGACCTGGCCAGATGTCTCCAGGCTTCTCTCCATTCTGCTCAGCCCCCTCTCTTGTCCTCAGGCTCACTTCTGACCCTTCTTCCTCTGCAGGGAGTACACCACCTGCCTATTTCCTACCAAGATACCCTGATTCGTTTCCAGTAAAATCCAAAGCAGCAGATTTCTACTCAAAGGCCTATCCCAATTCTAGTTTGGGGACCACCTCAGATAGAGGAATGAGCCATGCAGAGCCTCACCTCTTACAATGAGCAGAGCTTCACTAACAGTTAACTCCATTGCTGCCTCGGTCACAGCGACCTCCCCAGATCAGCCCAGTGCCTGGCACATAAAGGAACTTAACATGACTCTGTATCTCACCAGAAACCTTGAATTCCATCATCAGGGAAATAATAAAAGGTACCATGCTTTCTGGGTATCACACACTCAGCTAAGCACTTTGCTTACACTGCCACAAACCCCTGAAGATAATTGTCATTATTACACCAGTAAGGAGGAAAATGAGCCCTAGATGGGTAGAGTAACCTGCTCTACTACGCATATAACAAGTAACAGTTAGAATGATCCCAGGCTCTCAAGATCCTAAACATCTCAGGGTGCTGTCCTGCCCCATATGTGTCCATTTATTAACTCTCCAAGGACTCTGCGAGATGCCCCAGCAGGCTTGGCCTAAGGTGGTAACTCAGAAGCCAGGCTGTCTCCCTTCAGAGACTGAACCTCTCCCAGTGCCACCCACTGCCCCTCTTTAGCAAACCACTCATTTTTAGAACATATCTCCAAGGCCTCATTTAGGAAGTATCAAACCCACAGGAGAAGGGTAGCACACAGCTCCAGGTTTTTTTGTTTGTTTGTTTGTTTGTTTGTTTTTATTACAAAGTTTATTTTTACATCATTTTGCACATTTTTTTTTCCCATCTCGATTGTAATCCCCGCGGGTTTCCCATCACCAAATCACCCCTGTGCCACCACCATAGTCCCGTGCATTTCCCTCCCTTCCCCCCCCCCGTTTGTTTTTTTGTTTTTTTAAAGAAGCCCCCTCATTTAATATTCAGCTCATCACTGTCCCCATCATTATAGTTTCAGGTATCTTCTTTGTGACTGTTTCCACCTACAGTCCCCGAAAGCAGGGAAGTGGAGAAATCAAACCCTTGGGCTTCTTCCCTGAAATTCAACACAGTGACTCATAAAAATTCTGCCAGATTTTCTACAACTCAGATCTCTGGCTCATCTCACTCTTTGTTCCTGGGTCATAAGTACTATCTTTGTCCTGGACTCCAACCATAATCAACTACTTCTCTTAGTCTCAAACAACAAAGTAGATGCAAAATATACAAAACACCATTTTTTTTTTCTAGTTTCTTCTGTGTGTCCTGCACCTTTATACATATGTTATTCTCATCCCACTTATCCCAAGTGGATATACCCATCTCCATTTTATAGTTTCAGTGGGGTCTCGGAAATTGCCCCAAGTCACACAAAGAACAAATAATAGCATGAGGATCTGAACCCCAGCTTTCATGACCAGTTTAGGGTTCTTTACACAACATAACCTGAAACTAGAATCCAAGTCCTTTGATCCATTTCTTCAATAGAACCAACAACACCTGCAGTCGTAACTAGCATTTATTCAGCTCTGCTCTGCAAATTGCCCACATGGTGTTTACATTCATCATAACAACTCTGTAAGGGAGGCAGAATGAGACCATTTGCAAGAGAAGAAAACTGAGGTTTTCAGAGATACAGCTGTTTAAGGTCACAGACCACCTG